AGAGTGTACAGTGACAGAGTGTTTTACCACAGTTACTATCGCTCTCGATGTTTAAATGTATTGACCTAGAGTGTCAGTATCTGTATCAGCTAATACAAAGAGTGACTTTTTTTGCTTTGTATTTTTTAGGAAGAAAATAGTGATATTCCAATATTATACTAATCCTGGAACTACTCTTTTTTCTCTCCTGCAGGTTATCAAGTGATCTGACATTCATGAAGGAGAGGAACAAAAATCTTCCTCGTACACATGAATCCTTTAGGTAAAAAACTGGACTTTAAATACTATTTATATATAGTATAGTCATGAAATATAAAATTTTATAACAAGAAAATTACTGTGGCATTGTGCTCAGTAGTTGGTAGAGATTAATTTCCATCCTATTTCAAAATCAAGTTTCAAGTTCTAATTTAAATTCTAACTTTCAAACTCTAAAATTTTATTCTTTAAGTTTATGCTTTTCTTGTCTGTAAAAGACTGCTGTAAGAATAATAATCCTGAAATTATGGCTAAATGTACAGACCATGAGGGAAGAAAGTAGAATATTCAGGAGCTGTGAAAGTGGTGGAGGAAGATTGGTTAGCTAAATCATGTTTTATTGGGAAAAAAAGGCAGTAGAGGTGGTATTCAGAAAAAAAAAAAAAAAAAAAAGAAAAAAAAAACAAACAGTAGGAAAGGATCAGTCTTTAGCTTTTGTTACATTTCTCGTATGAGTCTGAGCAAAGTACTTCACTGTTCTCTGTTTTGGTTCCCCATGGGTAAAGTAGGGATAATGGTGCTTTCTTCCTGTTGTCTTGGCTTCTCTTGTCAGTTTAGATGTTGAAAGTTTAAAAATAGTTTCAGGCTCAGTTCTGTAAAATCAATAGGAGTTAAGTGTATACATACTTTGATGGAGATTTAAGTGTCTAAAATATTTTCAAGAATCTGGGGTTTTGTGATTTTTCTTTTTCAAAAATTACTTAAGTCATTCAGACTGAGGAGTGCATCTCCATGAGTGAGCGAAGTTGTTCCATTCATCATCACATATAGACTGCAAACCAAAGCAAGGACTACAAAGAGTTGTTAGGAGGTTTGTTTAAGAGAGAAATTTAGGAAAAAATATATTAGAAAAAAAACTGATACAGGCTTTTCAGGTGAAATCTAAAAGAATTTGTAGGTGCTTCCAGTTTATGCAACACTGAAATATTAAGTGCTTTGTCCCAAGAAATTAATTAGATGTCTAGGTTCCCTTACATAGCCAACAGAAGGAACTAACCACCCTCACAAAGCACTCTACAAAACCTACATGCTAAAAGCAGCCACCTGGAATCAGTTACAAGAAATTCATATCAGGTGCATGTCTGAACTTCCTATCTTCTCTGAAGCTTATACATCTCCATGAAGGCTGTACTGGGTGCCTGAGGGATTCAGAATTTGGAGACTTCCAATTAGGTCTCATTCAGAGAGGGGAAAGCAGAGCTCTGGACACACTGCACATCCACAGCTTTGATTTTCAGTATAATCCCAACCGTCGCTGTCATTCAGAAACACATCTTATGATAGCAACGCTCGGGTCTTGGCTAAGGACTTGTATGAGTGTTGGCATTTGGGAACAGACCATGGGAAGGCAGACTTATGCAATAGTTGAATGTGTGGCCAGTAGGATTCTGGATGGTGTAGCAGATTAGCACATTCTTGCTTTATCCTGTTCTGTATTTGTACTCGGTTTCATAAGGCTGTAATTCAGCCTTTCAAATGGTAATAAACTGCTGTGTTTTGACACTCCTTAAACTGCCTTCTTCTAGGCCTGAAAGACAAACGTTGTTTATCATCATAACTAATGGGAATGTGAATTTTCTTCAGCACAGATTGGTAAAGTACTTTGGGCTTTAGATTGCTTTGGCAGCACACGCAAAGCTTGTGATGCACATGATGTCATTGCCAGTGGGCGCTATACAGTTGTTCCCCTTCCTGAAAGCCTGAAAACATGGCAGATAGAAAATTTTTCTCTCTCTGCAAAACTGAGTAAAGACTTCTCTGTCAGTCTCAATAAATATATCCATCAGCATAGCCATAAAAGAGAGAGGAAAGTATGTAAGAACTAGAACTCAATTAGGACAAGGACATTTTTCTCTCAATCCTGCTCCAGAGCACCTGATTTCAGTATTTAACTTTGAGTTTCCTCTAGTAGCATTGTAAGCACAGTTTTCAAACCTACAATTTCATAATATTATTAGTGGCAGAGTAGGGTTATTTTACAGGAATATCTAGCAGTTCTGTGCATTCTAAAACCTCAGCAATGGTTTCCATTTCCATCAAGGAAATTAGATCAAAACCTTCAAAAAGGAGGCTTATGATCTTTTAATTATCAGCTACTCAACCCCTGGTTTTGCATGACATTCTGGCAAATCAGTGTCCCCTGTGTCCCTCATAAAAGAATGTATTCAGTCTTAAAAGTGAGGCATTCCCTCACAGCATGTTCAATAATGCTAGTTACCCTTTAATGAAAACATTTTCATGTTGTGGATAGGGGAGACGCACTTTTGGTACATTTATGACAAAGTGAGCATTATTTTTTCTATTAAAGAAAGTATTAAAAAAAAATATCTCCAGAACCCTTACAAACAGTATTTGAACCACAAGTACCAAATACCAGGCAACCATGGAAACACAGGCACTGGAACAAATTGAGTATGGTTAATATGCCTGGACCCTCCTGGCCACTGCTCTGCTGCTGCTTACATTCCTTCAGAAAGCAACACAAATACCAGAACGAAGCTTTTCTAAGATGCTTTTAAGTATGTCTCTAAATAAAGAGAGGTTATGATAATGCTTTAATAGAAATATTTTGAAAGCTTTAAATCCTGAATGTAAAATAGGACATCCAGCCGTCTCATACTTCTGCACCATTTTCTAGCTGTTAATAATTCAAGGTATTTAACCTGAATTGAAACACTGGCCTGGAAAGCACACATTGGATCACAAAGCCCAGTTCTTGGCTATCACAAACAACCATGTCATATATATTTCATAATAGATCAGACTACTTGGGAAAACTACATGGGATTTTTGTGTTTGGAAGTCTACTCCAGAAACTCACTACTGTGATAGTAACATTTTTCTCTAATTTTTGGATCTAATTATGGCCATCTATTTGTGCATTTTCTAGAGTATACACATGATTATTTTCCCTCTTTTGATGCTAATCTCCTGATATGTTTCTAGAAGACAGCCATCCTTGCATGGAGTAAAAGGCCAGTTCTTTAAATTGCCATCATGAGACAGCCTCTGTGTCCCCTGCTCATCTTTGTAGCTGTGTTCTAAGTCTGTTCTAAATAGGTTAACTTGGTGTTTTTTCCCCAAGTATAGGTGACCAGAATTGTACATAGAGTTTAGTGTGTGGCACTAACAGGTCCGTGTTCCTTCTGCTCTTTTTCACAGCCACATTACAGAAGTCATTCACAGTCATCTGATTTTTAAAAAACAAATGCTCACAAGGAAAAAGTACTTGTTTTTAAATGCAATAATTTCATCCTATTTCTATTAATTAGATTCTTCAGGTCTTCAGTTTCAAAAATTATTCCATTTTCCTTGCAGAGTGTTCTAATACAGCTCTTTCTTGATTATGCCTCTGTCTTTTGTCATATTGACAAATTTCATTCTTTTACTCACTGTAATCAATTCCTCTTATCAGTCAATTCTTCACACAGAAAATATATACGTGTAAAGTAAAAAAAAAAAAATAATCATGGTACCAGTTCCCTATAGCAAAGCACAGTGCGAGTCTCAGTTTGAAAGTGCAGTATTTTGCAAATGTTCCAACTATTTTTAGAAATAATAAAATGTTGTCAGTGGTATCATATGTACACGAAATAGTTACTGTTTGTTGTTCATTATTTCACCTTCACTTGAGAAAAATGTGCCTTGTTCTTGCATTAGCTTAATGGTCTGTGCTCCACATTGTATAACACCAAGTTTTCAGCTCATTTCTCCAGTTAAACACTAATGTTTGTGCCTAGCATTTGTTTACAGTCATAAAGTTTGCATGTGCTTACACAGAAGGGTAATTTATATTTAAATGGCTTGTTCTCCTGACTATATATGCACAGATTGCTCTAAGTGATTTTAAAACTAACCCAGATGCAATTTTGCAGCCCGTAGCTCAGTTACATGCATGAAATGTGACTGAAAGTGGTATATGGAAATGTAGCCAACTCTTGTTCTCCACATTGTTCACAGTAAACATGTTTTAGACTCAGTTAAATTAACTGATACTTCATTTGCCTTTGCGTTTGAAAAATATTTGTATGCTGACAGATTAGTTTCTTGATACAAAAATGAATTGCATAATGAAAATTGAGTCATCTGATAAACCACAAAGAATTTTTCCTCAGCAAAGAGAAAGCTTGTTCCCACACTGTACTACACTGAATGGGTTTCAAGCATACAAATACCTGTCAGATGTGCTTGGTAGGAGTGAAAAGCTGAGATAAGGAGTTCCCTATTTAAATAGTAAATTGTTATTCAGTTTCAAAGAGTGAGGTTGGCTAATGAGAATGTAATAGCTGACTCCAGTCACCATCTCCAAGCAGGAAGTATACTGATGGGAGAAGCGGGAGGTTTGCTTTAAGTCATTTTATCTTTTCTTCAGGCCAAGCAAATAGATTTAGCAGCAACAGGGACTCCTGATCACCCTGAGATGTAACCTGAATTCTGAGGACATCTAGTGGTGTCAGCCCACTGCAGGGAGTGGGTGGCTTCCCACTTGCACCTCTGTATTTAGTTCGGCAACACTGCCTCTGGCCATTACAGGTTGAAGAAAGAGGTATAATTGCATCCCGTCTTGCATATTCACCTGACAAATGAACTGTGAAGTTATGCTACCTTTTCCTTGGTTTCTTTTCTCTGATCTTGGCATTTCCACTTTACTGCAAAATCAAATGCAGTAAAAACAATGAGTTGAATGCACAGAAAGAGTAGCATTCTTCAGCTCAGGTGATCTTGAATTCAACATTACCAGTCCAAAATATTCAGAAGTCATGAGATGGGCTCAAAAATCATAGACTTCTAAATAAATTTTGTATCTTTTCTATTTGCCTTCTGTTTTCAGGACTTTCAGAGTTCAAATGCGTTGATAAAAACTCTTTTTTCGTTACTAAAAGGCTGATTTCTCAGGTAAATTAATGAGTCTAAAAGTTAGAGCTCTAAGAAAAGCACCCAGTATCCCAAGATGCCAAATAAATATGCAAGATTTGTTAAAGCTATGGAATTGTAATCCTAGCACTGCTGACTGTTCAAAGACCTCCCGGAAGACATACTTACTACTCTGTGATGCAGGTTTTCTACTTCTGAAGTGGAACTGTAGGTGTTGCCGCACCTTTTTGAGGAATAACAAGAATCAATTAGCTGCAATTCAAAAAGGACTTTGATCAAGCCAAATGATAAGTTATTACATGTTAAGCATTATTATTGACTTTTGCATGATGGCCTAGTTTTCAGTGAGCCCTTGATCTGATATTTCCTCCTGAGGAGAGGCAGACATCATGAAGCAGAAATTAACATCATCAGTTCAAATTATTTTGCTACTTCTTCTGACTGCGGTGGATCTGACTGGTAAGTACAACACTTCGTGAAACACTTGTTTTTCCTTAAAACACCTTCTTCAGAAAAGTCTGAGGCTTAACCCAATCTATCTTGACCACCACCAATATATGTTTAAATTACTTTGTTTTTAAGTTTTGTAAGGAGATTTTTAAAATGGGCTGGGCCCTCTTTCCTTTTTGTAGTATTAATTTAATTATTACGTTGTGGTGATGATAAAAGGCACTCACTCCATCACTCCATTCTTGTTACCTTCTTGGGAGTTAGCATCGTATGAAGAGTAACACTATTAGAAATAATGGTATGGAATTTTATTGAAATAAGGGTAAGCTTAGGTTGAAAAGCCACATGCTTTTCATGTCAAAATGTATATAAATTTATGGTCTATGTTCTTGGTAGCAGTTAATGACTAGTATCACAGAATACCAGGTTGGATCATCTGGTCCAACCCTTCTTGGCAAAAGCACAGTCTAGACAAGATGGCCCAGCACCCTGTCCAGCTGAATCTTAAAAGTGTCCAATGTTGGCGAATGAGATATTCTTAAATGTATTGGGATTATTAGGGACTATTTAAATAATTAATTAAGAGATTAAGGTTGCCAATACACAAAATACTCCATCCAGCCCATTGATCCCTTCTTTTTATTGCTTGTCTTACCTATGATTTACCCCAAATATGTGCAATAGTTGAATATTGCTTTGGTTACAAAGCTGAAAGTGAAATTTAATTTTAAGATGAGCTGAAGATAACAATTTTGGATATTTTAGGAAAAAACAAAAGGTCATACATTTACTTCCACTTTCTAATTTAATTTGGAGATAACTGTACACATTTAAGTTTAGGTAAGAATGAAATTTTCATTTGAAAAAGAGAAGTAAAATAATTTTAGCAGCTATTTTAGAAGTTTGAGGTAAAATATATTTACTTTTCTGAAAGTTGTGACCCTTTTTCCAGGCAGATTTATTTGCCAAATTTAGTCCATAATTTCAAATGGTGTTATTGTCCTCAAAAAAGCATTCCTTGCTGAATTTGTCATTCAACAATAACAACAAAAAATACTGTCCAACTCTAACAACTAGCTGGATTTCTGCACTTCCCTAGGTCAATCATACCCTGGAAAACCTAAGATAACAAGATGTCGTTCTCTAGAAAAGAAAACGTTTTCTTGTTGGTGGGAGCCTGGCTCAGATGGAGGACTTCCTACCAATTACACCCTGTTCTACAGCAAGGACAGGTAACAAGCGGTGCATACATACTCTGTAAGTGATCAAGGGATGATTATGACAGAATGAGGGAATGATAACATTAATTTATAAAGGTTCTTTCATGAATCCATTTTTAAACTCAGACAGCCAACAGGGGCTACATGGGATGAATGGCTTTGCTTATTTGGAAGAAAGCATGAATACTACCAGCCCTAAACCTTCTGCCTGTCCCTACTGAAACTCATCTGCCCTAAAATCTCACTGGTCTAAAGACGTGCCGGGAAAGGTATAGTTTGTCCACCTTCTCAGGAGGCACACCACTTTTAGCTGAACAGTGTCCCTCTCTGAGGAGGGGAGCATCAAGGCACTGTGGGGCCATGCGGGCTCCCCTGGGATGGGAGGGCAGTGCCCCATCCAGGGCCCATGCCTCCACCCCAGCCAGGGAGTGGGACAGGCTGGGGGCAACACAGCCCTAGGCGTCAGGCACCTCCTTGGGGACAGGCATAGGCTGAGGCCAGGCTGGGCCAGGATGTCAGCCTGGGTGTTGAGGCTGGCATGGCAGGGCCCACAGCTGGGAAGGGCACGGCTGTGGGGAGCTGGAGACCAGCCCCTCTGTGGTGGGCTGAAATGGGGACCTGGGCCCCAGGCAGTGCGTGGGGAGGCCCTGGGGAGGCCGGGCAGGGGCAGCGAGGCTGGTGGTGCCCTCAGGGCCCTGCTGAGGAACTTTTTCCATTGCCGTGCACAGCAAACCCCCATCTGGAGAAAATCTGTAGAGAGTCTTTGCTTCCCCTCTGGATTAGTAGCCAACCTCACGGTTCCCAAAAGGGAGTAAGATCAGACGTGGGTATTGCATCTCAGAAGCTACTGTTTTGGTAAAGTCTGTCACTCCCTCATCCTTTTTAAGAATAAAATGTGTATATCTTTATAAACTTTGCTTAACGTGTGCTTGTTTGGACAACTGCCCTTTCTTCCTGAAAACAAGAGGTCTCAGAACAGGAACAAGTATGCAGGGAGGCTCAGAGACTAAATTTCTTTGAATAAATCCACTGAAGTTCAAAATAGATCAGGTAAAGCCTCAGACTTCCTTGCTTCAGTGAAATAAACTCCAAATCATTTTATATTAATTAATCAGGAAAGGTGCAGCCTTTAATGAAATTACCACACTCTACAATGATCTGAGAGCTTTTATTTTACGAAAGTCCAGATGTTTTAATCTCAATCAAAACACAAATTTTAATGAACATTTTAAGTCATATCTATCACAGCCCAGAACAGTCCTGCTTAGGGATGGATAGGAGTGCTTCTCCACTTCATTAAATTGGGTAAACAGCAGGCACTGCCAAGCACTCCAGATCTGGGCCACAGCTACCCTTCTTACCTCATTGTCTCTCAGATACCGTCTCCTTACTCCCATCTTTTCTTTGTGAACGGGGACAAAACTGCCTGGAAACTAAGAGACCTTGTTATTAGCGGTGCATAGAGCATAACAGTAGGACTAAAGTGCATCCCTGAACCCCCTCAGCTGGTGCTTTGTGTTTGTGCAATTCTTCACACCTGGGATAGGCTCTGAGTACATCACCCGTTTCAGCTTTAATTGAGTACAAAAAGCCACAGACTCATATAAAGATAATAAGTAAGAGATCATGAATTAATCAAATATTTTTTGTTGAGACAGTTGTGATAATGATCATGTTAAAAACCAGATAAATTAACATCTTGCTGAAAACAAAATAATAAAACACTCCTCTGCCATAGGGCCCATCAGGTTACTTTCCAGGGGAAATATGTAAAGAAGATATTTAGAAACTTTTCTTCCTTAGTCAAAGTGAATGTGTTTAATTTGCCTTTTAACTTGCTTTTAAACATGTTTTAAAATTGCCTTGTGCTGTCTCCGGAAATTTCTCTTTCCATTTTTTGTTGACATATTCCTATGTATAAAAAGGGGGATAAAAGCATTCATCCTGAAAAAGTGCAGTGAAAATAGCAATGAAGCATTTATGACAATAGCATTTGACACTCACAAAAATGTTTTCCAGAGGTGGGATTATATATAGGTTTAAAGTTAAACATTTCAAATTTATTTGCTGAGTCTAAGCCATTACTAGAGTATTATCTGCTGTGCTTAATTTTCTAACCTTTTAACTTTTTAAATAATTTTATTTCAGTGAAGAAAAAATATATGAATGTCCAGACTACCAAACATCAGGTCCCAATTCCTGCTATTTTGGAAAAAACCACACTAATCCCTTGACAACATATAATATCACTGTAATGGCAACGAATTATATTGGAAGTAACAGCTCGGATCCTCACTATGTGGATGTGACCTCCATAGGTAAAAAAGAGAATGAAATGGAAAACAAACTAGTTGCAGATATATGTGGTTTTTAATCCCAGAAGAAGTAGTGGTGAAAGATTTATTTCTTCGTTATGTGAAACTTGCTATGGAGGAGTGTTTATCTACAGATGATATAAAATATGCATCTTTAATTTATGTGGAAAGTGCATTTTACTTATAAATTACGTAACTAAGTATTTAATTGTCATTTTAACTTTGTCTGAAAAATTGGGTCTGGCTTCTAGTTATCTCCAGTATTTCAGTTGGACTCAGTGACAGTTTTCTAGCTTCCTAGCACTGCAGACTGTAAGTCTTTCAAATTAGTTTAAGATATCTAAATTTTCCAAATGTAACTATCTTTCTGGCTGCTGGCAATGCAGTCTTGGAAGAGTAAAAATAACTAAGCACTAAGCACTCTGCGGGCTTTTTGTAATATTTCATATTCCTAACTCCATTCCACTTTCTTCATACACATCATCTACACACTGTAATGACAAATGTACTTAGTCTTTTTAGCTATGAAAAATCTGACATTTTAATTTTGCAAGAGTGGCCTAATGAAATCATGATTTGTGTTTTCTTACCCTGACAAATTCAGAGTAAAGTTTGAGATTTGTTGATACTGTGGTAAATCAGTAGCCAGTTAAACATTATTAGGGAGAAAGGAAAAAAAGGATATTGTACTATGCCCTTACAGAAGTGCTGAATGATCCAAAATTAATATGATAAAGTACAAAATTGTAAAGGAGGTGCCTTTTCTGAGAGAAAATTAAATCATTAATGGCAAACTTTTCATTTATACAGTTCAGCCAGATCCTCCTTTGAACCTCTCTCTAGAAACAAAAACATCTGCTAGCATAATGTACCTTTGGGCAAAATGGTCTCCACCTCCATTAACTGATGTCAGCTCTAATTCTCACATATATCACTATGAGCTACGACTAAAACCTGAGAAAAAGGAAGAGTGGGAGGTAATGGAAAAATATATTTATTATATAAATGCTCTTTTCAATGAATTTTCTTGTCTGATTTTAACTGTTATGATAAAAATTTTAGTTTCTGTAAGGATAGAAAAATTAATGTAACCAAATCTGGTTAAATAAAGAAAAATACCATAGTGCTCTGCAGAGACAATGAAGTTCAAGGTGTTTGTATAGTTGTCCTAACGTCACATACTAAAAAAAGAATCATTAGTCCAGTGATATGATATTTAATTGTAATTTTCATTAATGTGTCTGTTCTCAAGCATCACAGTAAGACACTGCTTAGTTCATATAGATTAAACCAAATCAGGATCAAAACAATTTATTGATTCATTATGATGTAATTAACAGTCAAGGTCAGTATCAGCAATACAACAGATAAATAACAATATTGGCACTTAGAAATTTTTAATAGACACCTACAAATTTATAAACACACTTCTATAACTAGTTCCAGAAATATGCTATATACAGAAATTCCCCTCTCCCAGGAAGGGTAGGTTACAAGCACAACCCACCCTCCTGGGAGTACGAATTCCACCATTTACACCCACTTCTGCAGGGCACATTGATGCTTTAACTTAATGTGAACCCACATCCCTTCTTACAGTCCACTAAGACACCCATCAGTGAGAAAGCACCCACACAGTCACATGCATACACCCAGGTGTGAGCTCCTGCCTGCAGCAGCCCGTGCAGTCTGGAGTGCAGCTATTCACAGCATCAGAGAGGGAGGCTGCTCTGTCTGGCCCAGAGAGAGGTCATGATGCTATAGCAGAACAGCTGATAGCATCAAACAAAACTTCAGCTACTGCTGAACTTTTCAGTCTCCCCCTACTATTACAAATTTTCATACTGCTTTAGTAGTGCTTTTCAAGTTGACCCTTTTTGTTTCCAAAGTCTCTGTTATTCTTTAATTACTGCTTAACTGGGAGGACAGTTGTCATCATCATTCTCTTCAACATGATCAACTGGGGGTAACATCAATCTCAGAAAGTTTGGGGTGTCCTACTCACACACACTTTTTCCATTGACATTCCTAGCTGTTGCCATTTTGCTAGGAGTGGGCCGCATTACTCACACGGCTGAGATACTGGAATAAAATACCATTCTTAAAGTCATAGTCAGATGGCTTCAGTGCTACCTGAATTGTTGATGCCTTAATGATGGAGAAAGCTTTGTGTCTTGAAGGACTTCTTAAGAAAGATTCAAAGGGACTGAGGAAGGCACTTAATAAGAAGCACTAAAACTAGCAACTAAGAAGCATTACACAGAGGGTTTATCTGTGAGTTGGACTACCTGTAGTGTTCCTTGCATTGTGATCTGATGGAGCAGTAACTTGCAAGAAGCCTACAGTTAAATATATTCTTGAGTATCAGAATCTCAGTGTCACTGAAGTGAGTTTTTCTGTTAAGTCACTACCTTTTCTTCTTTGTAATTTACATCTTATAAAATACCCAACTGAAACCCATGCCTTTCAGAAGTCAGTGACACAAGCATACTCCTTTATGGTTTATTTGTTAAAATGGCCCAATTCTTTATTATTTTTCCAGTCTATTTTCTTTTCCAGACAATATCTGTTGGAGTGCATACACAGTACAAAGTGATGAGGTTACAAGCCGGGGTGAAGTACGTTGTTCAGGTCCGTTGCATGTTAGACCTTGGAGAATGGAGTGAGTGGAGTTCTGAAAGATGCATTCAGATTCCCAGTGGTGAGTGGAAGATTACTGTTCTGTTAATTGTTTTTGAATTCTAGCCAGTTCAGTGTTGTGAAAGGTGCCTAAATGGCAACCCTGAAAACCCAGTTCCTCACACAGATACTTAAGCTGGAGGAACAGCTTAGTGCATCTTACTGTACTTTGTGTGTAACTGCCTGTTTAGTCTTGTTGATCCCCTCAGTATCCTCTGCTGAAGCTGGCTATGACAAATGGGCTGGGATTTATTAGGAAGTCACTTCTGGTACAAGTGTGCCTAAATAATCTATTGTTCCCGTCCCTCTATTTAAAATTCATGTTGATTTCATCTGTAGCTATAGGTATTAGGTAATTGTAGTTGTGTAAGAATTTGTTCATTAGTAACTGGACTGAAAGCACTGCCATGTTTAACAGAGCGTAACACTTGCAGCCACCATCACATGGAAACAATTATCTGTGTTTTGTTGGGTTTGAGTAGACACATTAAATATGCATGACATTGTATCTTGTTGTCAGATACTTTAGGCAGGTTGTCTCAAATCTTCTTCTATCACTAGTTGTATTATTCATTATTTGACATGGAGATTGCTGAAGTACTGTTAATAGAAAAATATTTTTAAATGTCCCATTTTCAGATCTGCCTTAGGCAATTAGAAATTTGGAAAATCAATGTCCCTACTCTAAATAGTAGAAAATATATATTATTGATGTAATAGGACCATAGTTTGCCACAAATACATAACTGCAAAAGTTTCAGTCACTTCAGGGTTTTGACTAGCATCATCCTATTCAAAATCTAAGTATTTTGCTCTGCCCTACTCTAAGTGCTTTGCTTGAGTCTATAAAAACATAATTGGGAATCCAAATAATTATAAATTGCTCGGCAGCAATCCGGCAAGTAGCCTGAGTGCTGAGCATAACATCACTTTACAAGGAAATATGAGACCTGCTTCTTTGTATCTTTGGGGTCAGCTCAGCATAGGTACTTCAGAAGAGAATTACTGGCAAGGACATGAACAAATGGGCAAGCACTTACATTCTTAATTTTTTTTCCTGTAAAAGCCAAAACAAATTACAGCGTATTTGTTAAACAATTAGAAGTATCTTAAAGCACAGGTATTGAAAACAAAATGGTTTATATAGAAAACAGATTGGATAGCAGAGTGTATTTTAAATAATTCTATAGAACCTGCTATGACGTATTTGAGCATCTCTTATCAGATTCGGGGGCAGAGCAGAGCCACAGCTGGGGAACTAAAACATAGTTCCTCAGCATAGCTGCAGTGGAAAGGATTTTGAGTCCAGGTCAAAGAAGACTGCTGTCAAGCCACTGAACCGTCCTTTCTTTCCTTTGCTAATATGAAGCAAAGCTGTTTCTTTCCTTGTAGAAAAAAAAAAAAAAAAAAAAAAAAGTATTTTACTGTGCTCTGCTTGACACTGTTTTATTAATTCAGGGTTGACCTGATGCATTAAACTTACTAGTTAGTTCATTTCTTTGTCTCCTACAGGACAGTCACCTCCTGAAAAGCCTACAATAATAAAATGCCGTTCTCCAGAAAAGGAAACATTTACTTGTTGGTGGAAACCTGGTTCAGACGGAGGACATCCTACTAACTACACTTTGCTTTACAGCAAAGAAGGGTAATAAGCTGTGTATAATTATTCAGTGTTTTATTGGAAGGACCTGGAAAATCAATCCTGATTGGTTTTGCATTTAGGAAATATTTTTCCACAGCATGTGGTTTTGTCCAAGTGACATATTCTGGAATAGCACTATCAGCAACATATGTAAGGTTTAAATAGGATCTCTTTATAATGTCATTTTTTTCTGATTTCTGAGAATTCTTCTGCCTTAAAAGACAGACTGCCTTGAAAGTTGCCACAGTGCAGCAACTGCATAGTAGTATGCAATTCAAATGCACAGTCCTGTAGCTCTTCAGCCACGCAGCCCCAGAAATAAAGCTTTCCAAAATGACCAGATGTTAAAACTTTCATCTTCATCTTCTGATAATGCTTATTTTGCATGAGTATTCATAGGCCATGCCTCCTGGCTTCTGCAGTAATCTTGGTCCTGCAACTTAGATCAAGTGATAAACATTGATTTTAAAGGAGTAGTCAATATTTTGTTTGGGTCCTGTGAACTATTTTTGGTTCACCCAGCACTGCTCAGCCTTGCACTGACCTAACTGGAGGCTAAACTCTGTACTTGTCAGCTGAGAGACAGGTCTTACTGGAAAAAGACAGATACTGGTCCAGCCAGCCAGGGCAGAGTGTGCCCACAACTTTCTCTTCTATTGTGCATCTCAGAGGAGCCTGGAAACAAGTACTAGAAACTCAACTTTCTCTCCTATCCCTGCTCCCTTTGGGAAGCTTCGTAATGGACTTGGAGGACAGGTACAAAGTAGACTTTTTGAGGAACAGGTGATGAAAGACCAAAATAGATTCTGAAAGCATATTAATGTAATACGTGGAACATATAAGTGTGAAATTAATATTGGAAATACTCAGGTGTTAATAGATGGGTTAGAAGACTTCAGCAATCACTCCTACAGGCTCTCTGGAACCTGTAAGAGCTATGCAGTGGGCAATGGCATTCAGAAAAGTAAGAGCTGCACTCTACTAGCCCACTGCTGCTTCTAAATCAGCCTAAATTCTTCAGGCTTTATAGTCTTTATTTAAGGGGGGAAATGCTTACTACCGTTCTGGAATTGTCCTTTGTCCAATGTCTCTTTAGTCTGAAAGCAGTCTTCTGACTTTCTTCACATTGCCAGGTGTGAAAAATCTGATCCAGCCCTAAATAATGCTGAACTACTGGTATTCAAAGTCAGGTGTTGTAGCCTGTATAACCTAATCACTGTGATTATTTCATTTCAGAGAAGAACAAGTTTATGAATGTCCAGATTACAGAACTGAAGGCCCCAATTCGTGCTACTTTGATAAAAAGCACACCTCTTTCTGGACCATATACAATATTACTGTGAAGGCAACTAATGAAATGGGAAGTAACATCTCTGATCCTCATTATGTGGATGTGACTTACATAGGTAAGAGATAAAAAGTATTTTCTGTGGAACCAACTAATTCAAAATTATGGAGTTTGACACAAGAATTTTGATTCCAGCTCTTCTCATATATAAAATTATATCCAAGTTAAAAAACTTGTAAGAACAAATAAGACCTTATCTGGTGTAATAATAAATCAATATTCATCCCTTTACCATTTCATTTTCAAAGAAAGCCTACAAATGCTAAAAGCTTTAAAACTGCATTTTTGCAACCATTTATTGGTTTTCCATATTTCTTTCAGTCAAGCACTAAGAAATATCATCCAGGTAAAATCTTTTTCCACTCACCAGCATCTGAAATCAAATTGATCTTTTAACTAATAATATTCAAATTTGATTACCTAAAAGTAGTTTCCAGACCCAAGAGAAGCTGAATTAGTGCTTTTTATAGCAGTGTACTGACAATATCTTTTCTCAGACTATTTCCACAGAGTAACTGTGGAAAAGTATTTAGGTTTTTTCTAAGGGAATGGAACATTATTACCTATAACAATTTTGTTATCAAGGATCTGGCTGCCAGCAGTCTGGCAGCTGGAAAAGGGCTGCTGGATAAAAGCTTTACATTTTACCTCCATGCCCTGACAACTTACTTGATGAAGCTTTGCATCAGACACTGGTAAAATACACACACAATATGCAGAAGCTCTGCTTCTGAACTGAGGAAGCTGCAAGCCAGACTGTAGCAAAAATGTGTGTTCCATTTTGGTTCATTTTTGAAGTATAGACAGAGCTTTAGCATTACTGGTTTGTTATATTTTTAAAATATCCTTACATATGCATGTAGAGATTATGCTGTTGTTTCCTGAATGTAAAAGATGGGGGGGAAGAGCAAATTTCATCAGCTACATCTGTATTGTCAGCATTCCTAAATATTTATCCCAATTGGATAAGATTATGGTAAAACACAACTTTCATAAGACGGCATTAAAGATGTTAACTTTGAAACACAGTTGTGGGGAAAAGCAACAACAAATGGTAATGTAAGAAAAAAGTATTTCTGGTGATAAATGATTAAGGCAAATCATTTTTACTGTTCTTCAGTTTTTCCTTCACATTCATAAAGCCATGCTTACCTTATCAGGCAACTCTTGATCCTTGAATTTCAGCACCCGTTCTAAATTACTAGACACAATGGAAGTGGCAACTCACCACTCACATAATTTTCTATTTCTTCCTAGCATGCAAGCAAAACATCATTTAGACTGTTATTGTTGGTTCTTTTGTTTTAACAGTACAGCCAGATCCTCCCGTGAATGTAACACTGGAATTAAAAAAGCCAGTAAATAGAAAACCGTATCTGTTCTTGACATGGTCTCCACCCCCTCTGGCTGATGTCAGGTCTGGATGGCTTACCCTTGAATATGAGTTGCGACTAAAGCCTGAAGAAGGAGAGGAATGGGAGGTAAGGATTTTGCAAGTTTTTGCTAGATTATTTCTGATAAACTAAATTTTGTCAGTGTGGTCCCATGCCTGAATGTAATGAAGCAGGCACACTGAATAGTTCATCATTTTTCAAAAGTGCTAGTGTGATCTATGATTTTCTACAGAGAATACTGGTATCTCAGATGCTGTTGTGTGATAGCAGGTGATTAAGTACTTATTTCTAAGTCTGGCCATTACATATTAATCATATTGTAATTACAGTTTAAATTGTTCATTCTCATAGGTTTCTTTTGTGATAATTTGTTCTTAACCACAAGCACTTCTTGGGTAACAGAAAGCTCAGTGACATGTAAAATAATTCAAATTTGTACAAATAGTCATTAGGAACTAGTTGTCACGGCTACATAGTAATAATAGCCTATAGCCAGGATCTGTAACTCAAACAACTGAGCAGCACACTAAAAGACTCCAGTTACTGGTATCTGGCTGCATCCTTTTCTTCTCTGCTGCAATACTTCCCAGCCATGTCTCTATCTCTTCCTTCCTTGTCCCTGCCACTGCACTTCCCAGCCCCCTGGCCATTGCAAGATACCCTTTTTGCTACCCTGCGCAGTTACACCAACTCCACATTTCTTCTTTTCTCTCTGCATTTTATTCCCCATCTCTGTTTCTTGCCTCCTTCTCTTCCTCTCACCATTGCAGTTCCCACCATTACCACAGTTCTCCCTATTTGCCGTATGCTCATGATGTGTTTTTGTAGTAGTTTAATTTGCACAGTATACCAGAACCAGATCTCATTCACACTGAATTATGTTAGAAAGCTGAACCACAGAAATAAAATAAAGGTACTGTCATTCCATGCCTGCATAACAATTGTTAAGAAGCTATGAAGGTTCATTCTATATTTCCCAACTTGGTTATCAAGCCTTAAACCTAGCTGTGATTTTCATATAAAATTGAGACATTTTTCTATGCATTTTATGATTTTTATTTAATTTCCAGACTATTTTTGTTGGACAGCAAACACAATATAAAATGTTTAGTTTAAATCCTGGAAGGAAGTACATTGTACAGATTCACTGCAAACCAGACCACCATGGATCGTGGAGTGAATGGAGCTCGGAAAAGTATATTCAGATCCCTACTGGTGAGTGGCCCGACATCCCTTCAGTAATTGTTATTACACAGAAGTTCATGTAATACTTTCGTTAGCTGTTTGTGCAGATTGACATCACATAGTTTCCCTAAGACTGGTAAAAACATCATTGCTAAGGTAACTGAATTCTCAGCATCCTAGCACTATACCAACTTGGCTTTCCCCTTAATTACTTTTTGGAGTTAAGGAGGTGAATCAGTTTATTTACTTTTTTAAGCCATGTCCTTTCTGTTTATTGTTTCATTTGTTCTCATGATGGCAGTTTTTAATTAAAAAAATACCAGTAACTGCATTAAAACTGCCACACAGACACCAAAGCGTGGCTGCCCTGAGGCAGTAACAGCTCTTCGATTACTCTTTATCTGGAATGAATTTGAAATAAACACCTCAGTGTAAGAAATGTCAAGTTACAATAGAAATCGTTAAAAATATCCCCTCCTACATCATTTAACCCACCATTTAATTAATTGTATGATATGTATTTGATAATGAAATGACTACCATACTGGCATAATTGGACTTGAACCCAATTGCTATAACTGGCTGTGACAAAATTTCCCTCTTCATACAATTTTGTGTCATTTTTCCAAGAGAGTTTATTTCCTGCACAGTGCCATTAATAAAAAGTATATTTATTATCAGATATTACAATAATTGTTCAGATCCACCTGTGCTAGTAGAGGCCTCTAGACTCAATACCAAATTTGTCAGTTTAGACCTATATTTAAAATTAAGTAATTTGAGACTTCTTTTGCATGCTGATTATGCAAATGCTAGAAGGGGAAGAGCATCTTCAGTCATAGGCTTGCCACGCTGGTGAAGAGGGTTTTAAACTAAAGTTGCTGGGGGTGGGGAACCTCAGTCCATCCCACTCCTACCAGTTTGATGCGAGTGCCAGCAGTAGATGCCCAGAGCCTGGAGAAGGATCACAGATCAGCAGCAGAGCACCTGAAGAGCAGCACAAAGGAATTACAGCCACTTCAGACAGTAAGTCAGCTTCATTGGGGGCCAAACTTAAGTGCCTCTGTGCAAACGCACATAACATGGGGAATAAACGAGACATGTGCAAGCCTGCAGGGCTCTGATCTTTTGGCATATCATGGAGACATGGTAAGATGGCTGCTAGGACTGGAGTGTTAAGAGTGGAGGGATACAGGCTCTTTAGGAAGGACAGGCAGGGGAGATGTGAAGGGGTGTCACCCTCTATGACAATGACTAGCTGAAGTGCATGGAGCATCATCATGGATGGATGAGGAGCCAACAGAGAGCCTGTGTGTCAGGATTTAAGGGAGGGCAGGGACAGCGGACATGATAGTGGGGGTCTGCTACAGGCCACCTGACCAGGAAGACCAAACGGATGAGGCCATCTATACACAGTTAGGAGTAGCCTCACGCTCACAAGCCCTGGTCCTCATGGGGGACTTCAACCACCCTAATATCTGTTGGAGATACAACACAGCAGGGCATAAGCAAGCCAGGAGGTTTCTGGAATGCATTGATGGTAACTTCCTTCTCCAGGTGATAGAGAAGCCAATGAGAAGAGGTGCTATGCTGGACCTTGTTCTCACCAACAAGGAAGGGCTGGTGGGGAATGTGAAGCTCAAGGGCAGCCTGGGATACAGCAACCATGAGATGGTGGAGTTCAAGATCCTCAGGGCAGTGAGGAGGGTGCACAGCAAACTCACTACCCTGGACTTCAGGAGAGCAGAGTTTGGCCTCTTCAGGAGAGCAGAGTTTGGCCTCTTCAGTAATGTGCTTGGTAGAGTCCCACGGGATAAAGCCCTGGAGGGAAAAGGGACCCAAGAAAGCTGGCTAATATTCAAGGGTCACCTTCGCCAAGCTCAGGAGCAATGCATCCCAAAAAAGAGGAAGTCAAGCAAAAATGCCAGGAGGGCTGCATGACTGAACAAGAAACTCCTGGGCAAACTCAAACACAAAAAGGAAGCCTACAGAGGGTGGAAGCAAGGCCAGGTAGCCTGGAAGGAATACAGAGAAACTGTCCAAGCAGACAGAGATTAGGTTAGGAAAGCTAAAGCCCGATAGAATTAAATCTGGACAGGGGTATCAAGCGCAACAAGGAAAGCTTCTACGGGGACATCAGTGATAAAAGGAAGACTAGGGAAAGTGTGGGCCCTCTCCAAAAGGAAATGGGACACCTGATTACTCAAGATATGGAGAAGGCTGAGTTACTCAACGACTTTTTGCCTCAGTCTTCACGAGCAAGTGCTCAGGCCACACCACCAAGTCGCAGAAGGGAAAGTTAGGGACTGGTAGAATGAAGAAGTGCCAGCTGTAGGAGAAGATCAGGTTCAAGACCATCTAAAGAACCTGAAGGTGCACAAATCCACAGGACCTGACAAGATGCATCTGTGGGTCCTGAAGGAACTGGCAGATGAAGTTGTTAAGCCACTATCCATTATATTTGAGAAATCGTGGCAGTCTGGTGAAGTTCCCACTGACTAGAAAAGGGGAAACATGACCCCCATTTTTAAAAAGGGAAATAAGGAAGACCTCGGGAACTACAGGTCAGTCAGTCTCACCTCTGGGCCTGGCAAGATCCTGGAGCAGATCCTCCTGGAAACTATGCTAAGGCACATGGAAAATAAGGTGATTGGTGACAGCCAACATGGCTTCACCAAGGGCAAATTGTGCCTTACAAAGTTGGTGGCTTTCTATGATGGGCTTACAGCACTGGTGGATAAGGGAACAGCAACTGACATAGAATCAGAAAATCATAGAATAGTTTGAGTTGGAAGGGACAATGGAGGTCACCTAGTCAAACCTCTTGCAGTAAGCAGGGACAATCATCCACCTGGACTTGTGCAAAGCCTTTGACACTGTACTGCATGGCATCCTTGTCTCTAAATTGGAGAGACATGGATTTGATGGATGGACCACTTGCTGGATAAGGAATTGGCTGGATGGTCGCACTGGAAGAGTTACAATCAATGGCTCAATGTCCAAGTGGAGACCAGAGGCGAGTGGCATTCCTCAGGGTTTGATATTGGGACCAGCATTGCTTGACATCCTTGTTGGCAACATGGACAGTGGGATCCAGTGCAGCCTCAGCAAGTTTACTGGACAACGCCAAGCTGGGTGATGCAGTCGACACACTGGAGGGAAGGGATGCCATCCACAGGGGGGACCTTGACAGGCTTGAGAGGGGGGCCCATGCCAACCTCATGAAGTTCAACAAGGCGAAGTGCAAGGTCCTGCACATGGGCCAGGGCAATCCCAAGCACAAATACAAGCTGGGAGGAAAATGGCTTGAGAGCAGCCCTGAGGAGAAGAACTTGGAGGTGTTGGTAGAATAGAAGCTGAACATGAGCCGGCAATGTGTGCTTGCAACCCAGAAAGCCAACTGTGTCCTGGGCTGCATCAAAAGAAGCATGACCAGCAGGTGGAGGGAGGTGATTCTCCCTCTCTACTCCGCTCTCATGAGACCCCACCTGAAGTACTGCATCCACCTCTGGAGTCCTCAGCACAGGAAAGACATGGACCTGTTGGGGCGAGTCCAGAGGAGGTCCACAAAGATGATCAGAGGGCTGGAATACCTCCCCTATGAGGACAGGCTGAGAGATTCAGCCTGGAGAAAATAAGGCTCTGGGTAGACTTTATAGCATCCTTCAGGTACTTAAAGGGGGCTACAGGAGAGATGGGGAGGCACTCTTTATCAGGGAGTGTATCAACAGGACAAGGGGTAATGGTTTTAAGCTAAGAGAAGGCAGATTCAGATTAGATATTTAGGAAGACATTTTTTAATGTGAGGGTGGTGAGTCACAGGAACTGGTTGCCCAGGAAAGCTGTGGATGCCCCATCCCTGGAGGTGTTCGAGGCCAGGCTGGATGAGGCTTTGAGCACCCTCGTCTAGTGGAAGGTGCCCCTTGCCATGGCAGGGGGTCTGATCTTTAAGGTGCCTTCCAAACTAAACCATTCTATAATTATATGATTCTATGTGTGTCCTTAAATACTTCTTTTTGTTTCTTAGACTTTAGAGTAAAAGATATGGTTGTGTGGATCATCGTTGGTGTCTTGTCATCTCTTATATGTTTAATCATGAGCTGGACAATGGTTTTGAAAGGGTACAGGTAAGTCACCAATTTCACAACTGCATGGAGTTGAAAATCTCAGCAAACTTTTCAAAAACAGACTTCTAACATTTGATTCAATTTCCTATAGGTTCTGTGTTATCTTGTAGACTATGTTACAGGTGTTTGACTTTTAATTTGCAGCTGATAAAGAGCTATTTCTGTTCTTTAGATAAACCAGGCTAAATTCTTAATTGGTAAAGACATCTGACCATCTTGGTTAGCCATGGAAGTATTCAGGAAGCATCATCTGAAGAAGCATCCCTGCTCCTGTAGAAGACATGCCCTTTGGTTTTGCCCTAATTTGCTAAATGAAACAAGGTTATATTACGAGGTTGTCTTACTGCCCACCTGTGTGTCAATTCCACAGATAATTTATTAGAACACTGGCTAATTTCAATCAAATCTGAAAGAGAAAGATATTGCAAAGATTAACATTTTTGTACAAATCTTGCAAAAAATTCTGTCTGTAGAAGAAAGAGATATAAACTGTTGATGAAATAGCCATCGGAAGTCATTCATCATAAATCTTGTTTAGTCAGTCGATTATCAAGTACCAGTCCTCCTGAGCTGTGCCCCACAGTGCTGTTTCTTGGACAGTGATGAAGTATTAGAGAACTGGAGGTTAAGGGACAAAGGACAATAAAAGGGTAGTAGCAGTGTTACTTTTCCAGTTGAATAACTTTTGTACTGTTCTCTTTCTTAGGAATACATCTAAGGGTAACTTATGAACTGTAACTAGATTTCTAAATTACCTGTTTTGAGAGGTAGACTGGAAACAGAGGTCCAACAAGGAGGTATCAGATAAGGAAAAAGTGTTTAAAAAGTCAGACACATTCCAAGGAACTGGGAGAACAAATAGAGAGACAGGGCCCGTACTTACACCTTGTGTGTTTGTTCTGGTTTTTCAGAATGATAGCCTTTATCCTACCGCCAGTTCCAGGACCAAAGATAAAAGGCATAGATACACATCTGTTGGAGGTGAGTACCACTGATAACAAAAGAGTTTACCATTACTTTCTCAAATTATGCATTAGCAGACACAATTACCATAATAAAGTGTAAAACAGCTTCAATTAATTTAATCAGTGTTAAAAATAAGCAACGCTTTCAGGCTGATTGTGTGGAGGGTATGTACGAGACAGAGTCTTGCCTTGCATGATTAGTAGGAGGGCATTTGAGAACAGGGTTTGTGACCACAGCACCACAAAAGCCAATGCCTGGGTGATCTTCCTAGTAGTTCTTACGGAAGTTGCTGTCCACAGACTCTTGCCATGCCGAGGAGACAGTACATGGCTGCTCTATCATTCCTCTCCTTTTCCTTCATGTTAAACCCATGAGAGCCATACCTGCCAAAAGCTCCTAAGTCCTCCCATTTTAGAAACATGAATTCTGGTATTGTGTCTCCCCACTGAGGGAACTCAAGAAATTTTCTTCTGTTCTTCTATTTTCTGCAGCCATAGCAATCCAGTTTAGGTCTACTGATACAACTATTAAAGCATTTGTATATAAAATATGTAGATTGTTCAGTATTTTTCTAGTCAGGTAAATCCTAAGGTTAACAGGGAAAAAAATATCTTACTTATTATGCCTTTAGACAGGAAAATCTGAAGAATTATTGAGTGCTCTTGGTTGCCATGGTTTCCCTCCAACATCAGACTGTGACGAACTACTGATAGAATATCTGGAGGTGGAGGACAGTGAGGATCAGCAACTCATGCCAAGCCATGACAATGGTCATCCTAGTAAAAATGCAAAAATGCTACCCATGGAAACAGACAGTGACTCAGGCCGAGGGAGCTGCGATAGCCCTTCTCTGCTTTCCGAGAAGTGCAGGGAGTCCCATGCCCTTCCATCAACACTTCAAACACAAGACGTAAGAGATGTTAAAGAAAATAAAGGAGGAAAAAGGAGCTGGGAAACTCAGTGTATAGCCTCAGAACAGAAAATACTGCTTTTTGACAACGAGAGTACAAAATCATCCACATGGCCTGCAGCCCAGTTACCTAATAATCAGCCTCCTGTGTTTGCCTACCACAGTACTGTAGATGCATATAAGATAACACTGAGTACCACAAATGTGAACATTGCACCGGTTTTGGGGGGAAATGAAGAAAAGCATCAGTCACAATATCCTATCACTGAAACTGTCCACGATGACACGGAAAAGCAAAGAGAGATGGAGAATTTGCATTCCAAAACTGACCAAACCACAGCACAGGTCAAACAAAACAGACCTAATGACAAGACACCTTTTTTGAATCCTAAACTAATGGATTATGTAGAAGTTCACAAAGTCAGACAAGATGAGGAGCCAGCAGTATTATTGAAACATAAAGAAAATAGTGGAAAGACCAAAAAATACACTGTTCCAGGAACCAGCAAAGAATATACCAAAGTCTCAACAGTTGTGGACCATAATATTCTAGTATTAATGCCACATTCACGAATCCAGCACAGATCTGTGTCTCAAGAACCTACAATGGAAACGCCGCAGAACCTTCAGCACAGTCAAGCTGAGAAAAATATAAGCTACTGTCTGACGGTTCCAAGTGAGTGCAAAAGAGAGACCAGTGGATCAGAGTACATGGACCCATCTTCCTTTATGCCCTCCTTTAAATAACCAGTAGTTGGTACAGTACATACTTAATAGTTATGTACAGTAAAAAAAAAAAAAAAATAAAACAAAACACCTAGCAAATAGTTCCTTAAAAAACCCTAGCTTCCTATGTGTATTATATACAGAATAAAATAACCTGTGGGTTGAGGTAATAATCACAGAAGTAAACCTTGGATAATTAACATGTTTCTGACATACGAAATGAGGAAATGGATATTATCTGCCATGCAAAATACATTGTAAACTGTAATACATTGTACATTCAGCTCTGCAGAGCTCCTGTTAGTTGATTAAACCTGAGGGAATACTGCAGATTAATCAACAAAGATTAAAATTGTTACAGGTCAGTCAGTACACCATAGTGATCTGAGCAGTTCCTGAATCAGATAAATCATTGCACAACAGCATTCTGATCTACAACATATTTTCTTCTGAATGCATTCTGACACTCAATTAAATTTTATTTATATTTTTTCTGAATCCTTAAGAAAAAATGAGCTTTTATATATGACAAATCATATATAAAATATAATATATTCAACAAATTACAGTAAAATAACAAATTCTTCTAAATATATTTTTGCTTGGTTTCAATGTGACAGAAAATTTGCATCCCATTCATACCCTAGTCCAATCAAGTTACACATGAAAAAAAAAGCAGGACAATATTTGATATATTGCCTTACTGTATATAATATACAATTCTACTTTAGTACAAGCCCATATGTTTAACAATGTATTTTTAAAGGCTATTTTTCTATTACCAAAAAAAGACAAAATAAAATATTTTTTAAATTCCCAATGCTATTTAGCTATTCAGGAGCTTTTGTTTCCTTCTCCTGAGAGAGCGGTAACAAATAAAGCTACCATTTCTATAAAGAGCCTAAAATTAAACTTTATACTAATTAAGAATACGAAGTAATTTTTAAACTATATTTCTAATATATTGCAGATGTATTACTATTTGAATTGTAAATTATTTATTTCACATTTTTATCACCTGTAATTACAAAATTAAAATAGAATCCAAGCTTTGAGAGCAAAGCTTCTTTCCCACTGAATTTGTACTCTGATGCCAGTCATGAATGGAATGGCGTTCTCCTGCATTCTTAGACATTGTACTTTTCTCTGAGCCTGGAAGGAAAGTTTGAAGTCAGATTTTTCATAATGGACTTATCAACATTAGTTTTGGAATCCAGCCTCCAAAGTCAAGGATGCAAGGCATAAAAGCCGGAGTCAGAGCTCTGCTGAAATAGCAGTGGGAATGAGGAAAGGAGTCCACATACCTGGCCTGGACAGATAGCCCCAGAAGAGCAGTGGGAACAGTGACGATTCCTCATATCCCATGTAACCGAAGGCAGTCAAAATTATACTGCAATGGCTCCTTCCTTCTTGAAACAAAAGTTTAACTTACTCCAGGAAAGTATGACATAAATAAAAA